CAAATTTAATATGATTATTAAAAGAAATTATCTATATAACTTTAGTATCTATTTAGTATTAACCATTAACCGCGAATCGTGAATAAAATATGAATATAATATATCTATCATTGCCCTCGGATTAGATCTACTGTCATCTCGTATGAACGCAAGTTGTTTAGTGTTTACACATTTTATATTAATTATAATCCCCGCATTTATGGCACACAGATTTTTTTAAAAATTTTTACTACCATTTTATAAATATTTTATATCTAAACACAAATTGCAGTATAATATAATAAATTATAAAAATATAAGATATTAAGTATGAATGGAACGATTAGGAACTGCATCGTCGTTCAGTCATACAGCTGAAACAATTCCAAATGACATATAACTAAACAGACATGTGGTTATAACTTGTAATACGAATAGCCTACAAGTTACAGCTGCTAATAACGAGCATCATGTAATATATTAATAACTTATAATTTATGTTTAAGTACGGAATGTAATCACAGTTAAACTAAGACGATTCAAATAATATTATAGATATTACATACACGAGTAGGTACATTAGCAGTCTACAATAAGGTTATTTAAATAAATAATGAATATTTGTATAGTAGGTATGTACATATTGAAACAACAGTTTTTTAATCACTATTATAAAACAATTACCAAGTCGGTTTATCAGGATATTTTTAATCTTGCAAAGTACATGAGTAAAGTTGCACATATTTTTCGTATCTGTTTAGAAATCACTAGGTAACTAGAGTGAGACACCTAAATTTGTTTAAACATTAAAATTTTAATAACTTTATTTTTAAAACATTATAATTTATGTTTTAATGTATTATTTTTTATAGATGTATAAAAAAATTGACATATTATTTATCACAAACAGTATACTAATCTTATTATAATAAAAACTATAAAATAATAAATATAATATTATAATTAATAATAATCTAAATTATATATTAAATTTTGCACTTATATATTATACACGTGTACCTAATTTAAAAAACTATTAGTAACAAAATAAAATATTACATAGTCTTTATTCTATAACTGATTTAAAATAGCCATTTTAATTTAATGTTTTAAAACAAAGAAATAAATATTTCTTTAAATATTTACGCACTTGATTAATGTGTAGGTAATTAATATAAAAAGGTACTTTATTATAATGTTTAATACACTTATATAACTATAAATGAATTAGATAGGTTGAATTTCAACATAATATATTTTGATATGTCATTTTTTTAAGCTTTTTATTTAATAATATTATTAGAGTAGGTTGCGATTTTTTATTGAAGCAATTTATACTGGTACCTATATAAAAAAAATTTCTCAGTATCTTTATAGTTATCAATTATTAACAGATATTTATGAACATCTTTGATCACTTTTGTTGATTAATTATTTTTATCTTTGTTAATATTTATACTTTACTTTCTTAAAAAAAGAAATATTTCTTCAATCTGCAGTGAATCGAATAATGCAGTTATTAATTCAAGTGTTTTTTTTAAAGAATACACAATAATAATCTGAGTGCGTCCCGTTTTTAATTTTTACCTTTTTCATAGTCCGAATGTGTCCACAGTCATATCGACAAATTATATTGAATAGGCGGTGTGTGTCCTCTGAATTTCTTTTAGAAAAGTATATATTTGACAAGACGATCAAAACTACCATCAAGACCAAGTAATATTCAAAATGTATACAAAGTATTGGATTTATTAGAAATCAAAACTTATGATGATGAACAACTTTTCATGGTAAATGACAGTAAAAAAATTAAATACATTATAAGTACATGCACTTATTAAAACTGTATATGTAAATGGTAATTTTAAGTATTATACTAAATTTATTTTATTATTTATGTTGTTCTCTTGAATATATATTTGCCGATTTTGAATTATCTATTCATTTTGAATAGATAGTTGTGGGTGTCTCCAGCCTTTTTTTTAGGGGGAGGGGAAATTAATTTAAAAAATAAATGAAGATTTTTTTATACATTTTATTTTAGTACATTATTATGTTTTGTCATTATTACAATTAGGTAACAAATTTAAAATTCTAAGGGGGGGGGGGGGCAAGTACCCCGTGCCCCCCCCCCTGGGGACACCCATGGACTATTCTATAACCAATGCTAATAGTTTGTTTTAGTTCTTCGATTGTATGTGTAGAATACACAATATTTTTTAAAAGCAATAAATAAATAAAATAAGGTGAACATGTTTGCCAGTTGTATAAATAAATCATTTATTAACGGTTTTAGTCGGTTGATAAATATTTGTATTTGAATAACAAATTCAGAGTGTTAAATCTTCAGGTTTGGTTACATTTTTTTTTTAAATTTGTTAAGCTCTTTTTTGACGTTTTTTCTATAGATTTTAAAGAAACTGTGAGAAAAAAAAATATACGACCTCTTTATTTAGGCATACATTTAATTAAACCGTGTTAATCTGTGTAGTTTGGCTGTAAAATATTGATATCTGATAACAATTTAATAATTGAACAATTGAACAATAAGAATTAATGAAAAATAATGTCATTGCAAAACTAACTTGCTTCTTGCTTTACTGTAGAATTTAAAACACAACGCTATGCAACACCATAGTATCACGTAGGTATATAAAATGCTTTTTATTACAGTAATAACCTAAGTGCAAGTCGATTAAGTATACTTTATTGTTGCGTGTCAAATATACATATATGATTTTAATAATTTTGTATGATTAATTAATATCATATCATTTATATGATAATCAATATATCAAAATGTAATATTGTACGAGTATAATAATATTATAGAACGTGTGAACAACATCATAGTTTCTGCGTAAGTCAATATAGATAATATAATACACACATGTGCATATCGCACACAATTTATAATGGTATGAATTTATGCAGGAGTAAATAGGTCACATAATATGTTATATAAGTTATAACTTATAATATACAGCTGGTATCGGCGACTCTCGCCGTGTCATTTTCGGCGGCACGGTGTTATGATTTTGATTTCATTGTTTCTTGGTCAATTAATAAACGGACATTTTTTAGGCGTAAATAATATAAAACAAATCAGAGTTGGAAATATTTTTCTCATTGTACATATAATATTATATAATATATTGTTGAGTTATACAACACACACACAAAGCCCGTTTTAATAACTCTACACATATGGACATATACAATGTATACATATTATAATAATAATTGATAATAATAATAATAATAATAATAATAATAATATAATAATATAATAATGATAATATATGTCGTATAAAAAAAATAAATAATAAGTATAAAATAAAGTCGGGTGTGAAATTGTTGTTTATAAACTGTACAAAAACAAAAGAATCGAGCGGATAGAACGACAAACAAATGTATATATAATAATTATAATAAAAACAACACGTTTTACTAAATAGTATTTATAATTATATATAATATATAGTATAAATAATAATTAAAATTTATTTGTACAAAATTAATAATATTAATTATTATTTAAAATTAATATAGACATATTTTATTGAGGCCGATTTTACGGGGATATTACAAAATATTGGAGAATAAAACATTATTGTAATATCGATCAAATACGGGATTTTTTGATATCGGCTAATTGTTTAATAATTTTTTAATTTCACACAGAATAATAAAAATATATAATATTAGTTATTAAATACTATATAGGTATCATATAATTTTTATATTAATAATATAAAGGAATTATGGGAATTTGAGATATTGTGAAAGGGTGAGGCGCTTGCATTAATTTAATTTTGATTCTTTGTATTATTTTAATAATAATAATAAGACGTTAAGTTTTGAGAAAAAACCAAAACTATTAGAATAAAAAAAAAAACAAAGATATTGGAAATTTTAAGAATATAAATAAATAAAAACTGGCAAAAAGTTGTAAGTCGACGTAATATTATAGTATAATATTGTATATGGACGGAACACAGTGAAACAGCAGTAACTATCAATTATTTTTATTCATATTATATTTGGTTGTTAAACGGACCTATAGATTATATTATTATTACATTTAATAGAATTATTAATATTATTATTATTATTATTATATTTAAGTCATTCCCTCATTCGTTGTTCAGCTTAGGTTCAAGAACATTTTGTAGTAAACTTTTTTCGTGCGTAAACAAAACTATATTTGAGATATACACAGGCTGAGATAGAATAATTTATTAGTAACATAGTAACGCATTAATTCATTGGTTAAGACTATTCTAAAACTGTCAAATAGATGTATCTCATAATGTCATAAAGTGCATTATGCCAGTTTTGAAAGGGGAAAAAAAATTGAACGACTCGTGTGGGGCAGTGATTACACACAACAATAGAATAAATTAAGACGATATACATTATACAATATAATCATAAATTGGGGGAGAGGGATTAAATACATTTCTAAAAAATAAAACCTATACACATTTTTTATCCGCATCGATGCTCGATTTATCGGAGTCAAAAAATTGGTAAATGGTAATTATTAATATTTATTTTGTATTTTTTTTTTTTATCACAGTTAATTTTTGGCAGACGTTTTGACCGGTCTGCCGTTAAAAATATTCATACAATAATATTAAACATATTTTTTTTTATTTTTTTTTTTTATTATTGATATAGATAAATAATCTTATTGCAATTTCAACGTCCTTCGCTAAACAAATTTCTGTATTACGTATCAGTAATCGCACAAGTTTACTCAAAACGCGAGTATAGCTTGCTCCTATATTATAATAGTTAATTTACATTTTTACACATATTTTATAATACAATAATATTATGTACGGGACGATCGTAAAAATACAATAATTTATAAAAACTAAAAAACAGTCTGGTTGTACAGAAGACAACAATAATATGTACACAATAACGTCTTAATATTTTTAATTTTATTTTCTTATCTTTCTTTTTTTTTTTATATACATTATGCACATGAAATAATTAACATTAAACACGCACGAACAAAAAAATATACGTAAGTATGGTGATTGAAAAAAAAAAAAAATGTACAATAATATAAATAATTATACACTATAACGTCGTATCCTCGAACTCGTGTGCAATTCGATGAAAGAGTCGGTTGGAGTGAAAACAAAACAAATCATACGCACAAATATACGGATCGTATTACAGCGTATCAGGTTTATTAATTACGAAATAAATCGAAATTTCACAATATAAAAGGAGGATTAGCTTGTACATTCGTACAATAGGTGGTATACGTTTAAAAACAAATACATTTTTGATAACTCGGTTTGTCGGTACGTTGAACGATTAGACGAGTGTGATCGGCGATGCTTTATGACAGGGGATGGTTGGGTGGGGGTAAGTATACAATACCTAGTTAATTTATATACACGATATATTGCTGAATAATATTATACAGTAAGTCACCGAGAAAAAATATAAAATATATTATTTAAAAAACACGCTGAACGCGTACTTATAGAGATAACGTTTTAATATTATTTACATATAGTAATAATAATATACACAGGTACAGTCTAGATCATATTCGAATAAGGAAAAAAAAAAAAATAAAAAAATATTATTATAACATTAAGTCTCGACGTGCCGTCGTCATCGTCATGATAAGTTAGTACGCGTGTCATCGTTCGTTCGGATATACACATATCGCACAATAATATTTACATGCGCTGATACAATACTATTGTACATTATGCGATAATATCATATAGGAACCAAAGGTCCGCCACGGCCGGACATGTCCACGACGGTGCGCCGACGCGTCCGGCGGCATTTCGACCTACGTCGTATTACACGAGAAAGCCCTCGGACAGGTTGGCCGAGAACTGCGCCCGCATGGCCTGGATGCTGTTCATGATCTTCTTCTGGTGGCCGACCAGCGTGATGCCCAGCGCCGTCAGGTCGGCTACCGTCAGCCGGGCCACCGCCTTCGGGCTCACGATGCCCGCCTGTTCGAAGTTGTCCAGGTACCGGGCCATCTTGATCGAGCACAGCCACTCGTTCACCGATCCGAACTGGGTCATGTCCGGCGCGTCCGAGCTCAGCGGGTTCACGGACCTGTGGGGCAACGCCGATTGTACGTTTAATATACACATCGTTATCATTTGTCACGGATATTATAATAACAACAATTAACGTGTGAGATAATAATACGTCGTGATGCCATGGGTACGGAAGTACGTTACGTACACGCGGACGATATGTCTACAGGTACGCGAAAGTGTGTATACTACAGTCGACAGCGGCGTAAACGGGAAAAATTCGCAGGGGCGAGTGGGAGGCTATGTTACTTTAGCCGCTCGACCGTTACGTCGCTATTCAATACGACATGATAAGCGTATGTTATGTTTGCTATAAGTAGAATATTTTTACTGTTTTTTTATTTTAAAATTAGTACAATGTCTTTAGGTCGTAAGATTACCCCCTCCCCCTCCCTCTAACAACACCACTGCGGAAATCAAAGTGAACGGAAGACAGATTATTATTTACTGTATCGACACGACGACTATAATATACATGATAATAATATATGATGCGGTGACGTAACGAAGCGGTGCGTTTAAGAGGCTTCCAAAATTAACGGGTATTGAAGAATACGTAAGTCCATATAAATAGACGGATCCCGTTATTGATAAACAAAATTAAAAATAGGAATCTGCTGATAGGTATTAATATTTTGTGGGGGAGGACTAGACTAAAAAATTACCTCACTTCCCCCTCCCCCTACGCGGTTATTTGATAAAAAGCATTAAAGAATGTTATATTATATTATGAAATGTTCGTCTTTGATAATATTATCAAGTCGCCACGCCACCATTGATATTATATTAAGATACAACGTATCGCAGAAATACACCCGATAGCCATAATATGATATGTAATCAAAGCGATGAGTATACTTTTATGTGTGTTCTATGTATTGTAAAATGTAGTATTAAGTAGGTATACACTAGTTTGTTTTAGTAGATTTTGGAAAAAACAATTTTACGTCATTTTTTTTAAGTATCATGCACTAAGTTTTTAAAACAAAATCTAATTTTTTGCTATTTTTTATGACAAATCACAATTTTTAATTTTAAACTACGAGCTTCAAAGCTATTAAAATAAGATAAATGTGATGCACTACTTTATACACCAACATTATAAAAACGCATAAGTTAAAATTAGTTAACTATATTGGTTTAATAGTCGATTTTTATTTAATACATCAACATTTTTAAAATGTGCGTTTTATTGTAGTCAATAATTACTCATAACTTTTATTAGATTCATAATTCATTTTTTTTTTTATTAATATCACAAAATTGAAAGAGAAAACAAAATAATGGCAGCACGTTGGATTAACCACATAATAATATACTAGCATAGATAGTGAAACTAGAGAGATTCACCATAGTATACTTTTACTTAAGAAGAAATTGGAGGAGGGGTGAAGTATACCAGGTGAACTGTAATCTTTATGTGGACGACAATGTGCGTTATTGTTTCGGTGAGAAAAAAACAAAACAACATTATACTCTATAAATTGTAACACTAAAAAGCATAAAGCCGTATAAGCGGCGAAGGACTTTGGGAAGCGGTTGTTACAGGGAAGACAAACCAAATAGGTTAATTATATTATATGTACACAATGCAAGGACATGGGTACACGTACATCATTGGGGAATAGTATTAATCGAGAGGCGCCGATTATTAAATCGTATAATAATAATAATGTTATTTGCATAAAGCACCGTGTGAATGACCGCAGACGGCGGCGCTAATAACTGATGATACCAACGACAACAGTAATAGTAACGAAGTTGATGACGATGATGACAATGACGAATTAAGTCAGGTGAAAGGGGGGAAGGGCGGGATCGTGTATGTATATAATAAATACTAACTATATTTGTACAGATATATATATGTATTTAGGTGTGGTATATACGTACATACATACATATATATTTATATTTAATATATATGTACGTAACGCCATAACGGGTATTACCTTTTCGCGGATAGCCAAACAAACGGTCTCTCATTCGTGATGAAACGACACCCAATCCGAGCCACACTTAAATACGACCGGCACATAATATGGGTTAACAGGCGGCGGACGGCTGTCCAAACATGCAAAAACCCAATGCGTTTGTTAAAGATAAAATAATAATAATAATAATAATTATAAATTATAATAATAATAAATTAAAATAAATAATTGTACGTTAACAAAAAAAAAAAAAAAAAAATTGTTATAATACCAAGAATATAATCCTTAGTGGCGGCAACATAATACAAATGTTTTAAAACGTCGAAACGAAAAAAAATAATTGAAACATAATATTATTATTTTATTATAATACACATATATTATATGCGTACTACGTTAATATTAATAGAAACCAAAGCCAATGTCGAATAAAAAAAGTTCTTGATGTAGTATATAATATATATTATTAAAGTGACGTGGTGTATATACGTGGTGTATCTATATATAATATACCTTTACGTGACGATTTTGAAAAGTTTGATATACGTCACAAACATTAAATGTGCACGAAAATATTCATACAATAAATATAATAGCCTAGTTATACAGAGTGTTTTCGATGGTTGATGGTTGAGAGGGAAGTGTGTAAATGTATGTGTGTGTGTGTTGTGTGAGTATGAAAGGGGGGAGAAAATACGGACGAAATGAAAATAGATGGTGATAGAGAGGCAAAGAGAGAGAAACGCACCCAAAGTTCTTTTCGGATTAATATAATAACATTGCGGGTAGATATATAATATTATTAAAGTCTTAAAACGATTTTATAATAAAAAAAATAATAATTATAATAATAGTTGACGTTGCCCATCCGGGACGGAGATGTACATAATAAATATATATATATATATATATATATATATATATATATTATATATACATACTGAGAGTTTATCTTCTTTAAATTGTTATACAAAATAGTATGCAAGACGAAATTACATTTTTTTTTTTTTTTTAAGTGGGAGGGTGGTTGATATGTACGTATACCGCGCGAAAACATTTAACTTACATCAGAAGTTTTCTAGCAGAAAAGTTTTTGCCACTATTGGCGTATGGTAAAAGAAGACTATTAAAATAGTCCTAAGGGGTCGACGAAACGCGCATTCTAACTTGACGAAATGCGTCCAACAATTCCAGAGATAGGTTAACGGTATTGTACCTATACAACTATACATATGTTTTGTTTAGTTTTCATCCGACGTTTTAGTACTATAAATTAAAGGATATCCTCCTACAATATACTCTCCACAACAGAGGTGACTTTACATCAGGTTTTCTGACATTTATTATTATACTCGGATTTTATATGATTCGGTATAAAGGTTAAAGTAGGTAGTGGTCCCAAATGAGTTTCCGATTCGCTTAGACGGCGTGATTACCTAACAACTGTTCGGTGGAATGATTTGGGAAGATATGATATTTATGAGGATTGCACTCATGATGGGTATATATATATAATATATAATATAATGTTATTTTGTTTTATAATACCTAAGTAATAACTCGAAAGATAGTAGAGACTTTTGTTCATGAAAAGCATGAGTTGGAACAATGCTGAGAAATAAATTACTTTACTGAAAATGAAAACTTGGAAATTCTTTCCAATAATTGTTTTTGAAGTAAAAGCAAAATGTAAAAAAATATAAAACTTAAATTATTTTTTGACAAAAATGTTCAGATCAAACGAGAAATTCTGATAACATATTTTTCAAAAGGTATTAAATATCGAGACTAAAAATGTCATATTCAGTAATAAATTTGAAAATTTTTTATTTACTACGCACATTCCTATAAATCTACCGTTAAAAATGTTTTTTAGTCGAAAACTTTTCACCAGTGTCAATAAATTAAAAATAAAATAATTATAAAAAAATTATTTTTTAATAATTTTCTTTATCTGAAGTAGGATTATACTTTTTTGTATATTGTATAAGCAATTTTATACAAAAAATAGATATAAACGAGCTATATATATATATAATTTACACATAGTTAATAATATATTCATAAACTTGATAAATATTAACTAATTAGAGATAATCTGTCATAGTATGACTTCATAAACATAATAATGAACGAAGCGATTACTAATGAAAAAAAAAATGAAAAAATGAAAGCTTCAACCAGCAGTGGCATCAAGTATATAAAAATATACAAAACATAGTACTCAAAATATAAACGAATATGCAAAGCCCAAGAGAAATTAAAATAATGTATTATGAAACCGAATAGTAGATCGGAATAAATAACGATTCCATATCATGATAAATAATTATTTCCATTATTAAATATGAATAATTAATTCATCGGAGGAAATCGATATTTTAATTTTCGATCAACTATATAATATATAGTAAATGAGAAAAAAAAATTAAGAAGAAATAAACCATCATTAATAGGTTTTTACCTATTTTGGGCGATCCGTCTGAGTGTGTCCGGACACCTTATGAGTTTGTCGAGTGTCTTAACGATGGACAAGAACACCGGTCGATGTGTTCTCTCTTTTTGCCAGCAATCCAACATTAACTGGTAAATGGTTTCTGGACAGTCCATAGGCGCCGGTAATCGGTAACCTTTTTCGATGGATTTGATCACGTCCTGGTTACTCCAATTCCAGTACGGACGTTCACCGTAAGACATAACTTCCCATACGACAATTCCGAACGACCATACGTCCGATGCTGAGGTAAACTTGCGGAATGCTATGGCTTCGGGTGCGGTCCACCGGACCGGTATCTTACCGCCCTGGAAATTTGAAAACTGTCAATAAACACACAACAATCCGGTTAGTCCGTCGTTTAATACAAAACTGAAAAACATTATTGTAATTTAGGAGGATAAGTTCTCCATATACTGACTTACCCTTGTCGTGTACGCCCCTTCAGTGGTGCTTTCGATTTCTCGGCTCAGACCGAAATCTGCTATTTTACACACCAGCTGAGCGTTGACTAGGACATTGCGCGCAGCTAGGTCACGGTGCACGTAATTCATTTCGCTAAGGTACTGCATGCCGGACGCGATGCCCCGTAACATACCGACTAACTGTAGGACTTGAAACTTTCCGTCGTTGGCCTAAGTTAATTTACATAAACACAGATTATACACGTGAAATATTAACATTTTTTGTCCGGATAATTGTGATAGGGTTATGGTTAATAACCATATATGGTATTGTATGTAAAATTAGTATACACTCACTCTCAGGAAAGTATCTAATGAACCGTTTTCCATGTATTCGGTGATGATCATCACTGGGTTGGACCGGGTGACAACACCTTGCAAGAATATCACGTTGGGATGTTCAAATTGTCCCATGATCGAAGCTTCGGTCAGAAAATCGTTGCGAGCTTTGTCCGAACTACCAGGTTTTAGAGTTTTGATGGCTACGTCGACTTCGACAGAAGGAGACCCGAGAACTTTTAATTTTCCCCGGCACACGTCGCCGAATTCTCCACCACCTATCGGGAAATAAACACACTTTGTTTACACGCACGTTCAATTGATTGCAGGATATAATGGTAAATAATTAAGAAAGTATTTTGTGTTGACGGCAAGTGCGGTGGTATTAATGTATTGTCATTATTAGGACTGAAAGTTTTATGCGTTTCGATAAATTTTCCAGAACTATTCGATGCTCGTTTCATTATAAACGTCGTATAAATAAACAATAAAACTTAATTCACTATTATTTTGAGTACTTAACAACATTTAATGATGTTGTTGTAGAAATACTATTAGAAGTTATTAGCTCTTTTAAAAATCAAACTGCACAGTGCAACCTTTGAATTATCAGTTCTATTTATTATCACCAGTGTTATATACCTATTATAGCTTCAATGGTGATATATGAAGCGTCAATTTCTCTTGCGAACTCTTTAACTGCTTGATTCGGGTCTTCGTATGTATGCGGATCAATGTAAGATCTAGACGTGGTTGAGCCAACTTGAGTAAATAGAGGCGTGGTCACTGTAAAATATACATTAAATCAGTAAAAATCTGATTGAATTTGTAAAATTTTGTTGTTAATGAAAAAAAAAAATAAGGCGCAAAAGTGGAAAACTATTAGCCATGGACTTACTGCTGCTAGTGTGAGTGGCAACTATGGGAGGATTGTCCAAATTGCAATGCACTGGAAAACAAAAACAAAACACAAGTGTTCACACCAAAAGCACAAAGCAGAATGCAGGCAAACAAAAATAAACAAAAATGTTAGCTTTCGTCAATCAGCAGTTTGCACCCGATGGTTATTAGGACAAAAAATAATATTATTATATAAATGGATATACTACGGGCAAAATACACAGGTAAAGGGAGATACAACAATTATAGGCATTATTCAATATATAAGTAAAAACAAATTTGATTAACTAACAAACTAACACATTATTACCACGTGGATCTAATTTACTTGGAGTAACATATACTTTTAGTGAAAACAAATTAAAGAAAAACTCATAATTGTTGAAGATACAAAACGTGTTCGAATGAAAAATTATCTATTAATTATCTAGGGAAAACTATATAATACACTTACTGTAGGTAACAACAAGTCCTTTGGATGCATGTAAAACACACGAAAACATGAAAACTAGGTAGTGCACGTTAATTTATAGGGATACAAAAAGTAAGTCTGTGTGGAATTTTGGTCTGAACTATAAGGAGCGAGGGTTATTAACGACGCAATTTATCGTTGCTGAATAGTTATTTATATTTTTACTTGTAAAAACTAATGTAATGTGAATTGTAGGTATTTATTTATTTTAATTTTAAAATTAAATAATCGCTAAAATACACAAGATTTTTACCTTCTCCGTTCCTGTATTCTAACGTGTCACAATCGCTTGGTTGTTTTTTGTTGCATTCGTCATTGCTCCGGCTGAAAACGAGAATGAAAAATGTGTTAAGTCATGAATGTGATTACTTTGTCAAAAGCTTTACGACGCAACAATAAGAGTAAAGAAAAAACGTACCTTCTTAAGAACAATACCGTCATAATGATGACGACCACTAAGACGACTACTACCGCGACTGTGGCACCGGCGATTATCCGGACTTCCATGTTGTCTTCGTCACCAATGTAGGCTAGAATGGACAAAAACATAAAAATAATCCATTAGCAAATGACACAATTTCAATTCGAGCAGCCAGACGCAAAAAAGGGACGACGGCCTCTCATTCTCAACAATCAATTTGTTTTACCCGTGTCATCTTTAATTCCGTTTTTTCTTTGAACTTGTTGTTGTGTGTTCTTACCGCTTCCGAGCAATTGCCCCGTCGTTTTGTAAATGGTAGGGCTGTATTCGCCCCAGCCATGAGCGGTCTTCGCACGTACTTGGAATCCGTAGTCCGTCTTGGGCCTAAGCGCCGTAAACACCATGTGCCTGTCAGCAGTGAGTTTATTACTGACGTTCGACTCGTCACCTCGGGGATAAAACTTCACCTGTGGGAGTAGTGAGAAAACATAAATTATAAATATCAGCACACGTCCTCTTAACGAACATATGGCGCTTATTATTTTATGGTCATCGCAATACTTACTTCGTACACTTCGACGGAAGCATCATCATCACTAGAATCGAAGAAACTGGCCATAGGCGGGTCCCAAGATAACGTGATTTCGGAAGCCTTAACCAACATGACGCGGACATTGTTGACGGACGCGGACTTCACGGAAGCTTCCGTAGTGGTGACAGCTATGTCAACAAATTGTCGATTCTCGGATGATGTCAGGTTACTGACACCGTTTTCGGCCCATACGTGAAACTTGTACGTGGTAACTGGACTTAGACCGCTTATCGTTATTTTGGTATCATTGAACACCTCCTGAAAAAACCATACGCGATCATGTAATATTATATGATACAACTTATAACTTAGTATCTATAAATAGGTACTTATGTACTTATATGTATAGTGGATAGAGTGTGCACGATTAAATAATATAGTGATAGAGATAGAAATAGAGAGAGAGAGAGAGAGAAGATTGAGATAGGTGGACATACTATATTTTATCTGTATAAAGTATATTATGTTCGTATAATACTCACGTTGTTGGGCATGAACACAACAGACGGACCGCACATGTCGCACGTCACTCTGTACACGATATCGATCCTGCCACCGAGGAAGTTCGGCGGGTTCCACGATAGGGTCACAGTCGACTGGTCCACAAAGTTGACTGTCAAGTTTTGTGGCGCTGTCGGCGGTTCTATATTAAATAGAGAACAAAAAAATATACAAATATTTTCGTTTATATATATTATTTTGTATAAATATTATGTATTGTTGAGCGCGCACGAGCATCGGTGGTGGATATAAGTATATAATAATATTATTAATATTATTTACGGCCGTAAGGTGAACAGGTAAATTCTAAATAAATCGAGCGCGAGTATAAGAAAGGTACGTGGTCGTGGTATAAACACAAACGGGAAAGAAAGAGAGAGAGAGATAAAAAAAAAAAAATGAGAAATGGACAAACTGGAAGCTCGTATAATAATAATATGAAATGCCTTCGAATGAGTGTATAAATATAATAATATAACTAACTGGCTTCAAATACGCGTATGAGCAGTAAATAATAAGAGCAGATCGACGTGGATATAATTATCCTTCGCGCATATGCACTTATATATTTTTTACATATACATATATACACGTAGATATGTTATCACGTATATATATATATAGTATATGTGAAACGCTGTAATAATAATTATAAACAAATATACACAACGGCCGCAGGGTGTCCCGCACTGCTCACATATACACATGATCAAGTGTATCGTAAAATTTCGATTTCGTATTTATACATGTAATTATAAATCATGAAGTTTCAATTCTGATCCTTAAAAAAGGCCTGTGTATGCCTATGAGTAAAAAGTTTGTTGTGTGCGTGCGCTAAATTCGTTATTTATTTTGTTATAACGGGATGGACATATATTGTAGGATGTTCTTTGGAGTAGTATCAGAAGACAAATAAAACGACAAGACTACCAGACGGGTACTAAGTTCAGGGTCATCATTTTCTCCTTTTGTCGAGGTCGAATTCACTGGGTAAACACGTCCTCTGTTTAAATATTCACCGATTCTCTCCCTCCGTGTAACCATAATATATATGTATATGTATGTATGTATGTATATTATATGTATTATTCACTTTTCGTTTAAAAGTATCCGACTTAAAATTTCACTTTTTATTTCATTCCTCACCATTATTACAACCACCTACTCACTATATACGAGTATAATATATTACACCGTTAAAAAATAATTAGCTAAATGTTTACTTTTATTGTAAAGTTATGTTTTTTTTTTTTAATTTCCGTTATTTTTGGTATGAAAAAATAATTAAAATAAAAACCATAAATGTTTCTAGTTATTAACTATTTAAGTTCACTGGTCGTCATCGGTAATAGGATAGAAACGAATTTGCTTATTATTATAAATATTGTACATTACTGAACGTCCACCGAGTAAAAGTATATTTCATTAATTATCCGTAGAAATCATAAAAATAAAGAATATATTGCTTTTGGTTTGAATGAAATTTTTTAATTGCAGTGCAAAATAAAAATAAAAATGAGAACCGTAAAATTTAACGGATATCAGATCCACAGCAAACCCATGCAAAATGTCGGGAGTCTACTAGGCAAGTTGCTTATATTTTCATTAAAAAATAAAATAATAACAGAAAACTCTCGGGAAAGAGCAATGGTGATGGTGGTAAATGTGTGCGGTTGGTAGTTTTAATTATTAAAAACCAAAAAGATTTTAATGAAAATAATTCTTTATAAACAACCGACTGTGACGGCGGCGACGACTACGTACTTTTTTGCTCCCTTTGCTGAGTGCGCAATTTCCGGACAATTTATTATGGCTTAACCTCTCGGGATAAAAAACGGGAAACGAAAGAATGAAAGAAATTTCGCTTAAAGTAATCTCGTGCGAAACTACTACGCTTCTCCGCCGACGTCCGTTCCTAACCACCTGCACTAACAGTTTTGCTGTCGCTGAAGCAGTCGCAGTAGCACGATCGTATGAAAAGCGATTGGGATTTATTCGTCAATTGAAATCGGATATAAATAATAATGCGACGACGGATAATAACTTTTACCGACTGTAATATATATAAAACCTATTACGGATGCAAAAAAAAAACTATTATGGAAAAAGCCAAAAGAAATATATATTGCCGCCTTCGTCTCAGCCTTTGACAGATTTAAAAGGTTTTAGCTGCGCGGTCTCGACGCCGAAATGAATTCTGTAGATAGAGGTTTTCGAGTGTAGATAAAAAAATATACATAAATACATGTATGTTTAAATATAGTATACACACACAAGTTCACGTTTAATAATGCTTTGTGTCACGGGAGTTTTTTTTTCCTTATTTTTTTTCTTCTCGTTGGCAGTCTAACTCAATCAAGCACTCATCGCACGACAAAAAATGAATTAATACTCCCAAATACGATGATGGAAGAAGAGCGAAATCTTCAACTTCATACATCGTATAACGGTGAAATGTTCTCGGATTATTGACAAAACATACTAACGATCGAATTGGTCTAATTATCATCAACAAGCTTACGATGATGAGTGAGGTAGGTGTTTTACGTGTCACGGCCAATGACGTTGTCAATGTTTGAGTGTTAAACACTTCACCGGGGAAAAAAATAAAAAATAATAATACTTGCTTTGTTGAACTCAAAACCCGAAAATAATTAGCCAGCAAATCATAATTTTCTAACCACTGGATTTTTTGCGCAACCGTGACAAGTATATATATATATATATATATATATGTGTGTGTGTATTACACGGCCACTATAATGTAAAACAGTGTACGTGGTGTATGTGTATGGAGTACCAACTTCCTTGTGAAGAGAAAAAACAGTTCTTTTCACCACACCAGACGTGCTCTCTACACGACAACGATATATTTTTACGTACGTCGCATACATATAATAATAATAATAATAAAAAGTGGTGTATACGAAAAGACAAAAAAAAAAAAAAGAAAGAGGTTGGGTCGCTGCCGCCGCCGCTTTGTATACTGCGGCAACAGCATTTTTGAAGAGTTCGTCTGGGTAGGTCGTGCCGAGGCGACTTTTCTCATTATATTCTATGAAACATAAAAGGATGCACATCCCTTTTTAGGTTTTTTAAGCTTTGTAAATTCAGTATATATGTATATATATATATATTATGTATTATGTACACACGAATATACACCACGCAGATGTTGTAACATTCGTGTTGTATATGTGATTATTATATATCTAAACATGATGAGTGATCTTATAAAAGTTATGAAAAATACACTAAAAACAAATGTTGAAAAGAACTAATAATTATTTTTTATTAACTGTGAGTTTGTTTTGGAATTTCAATTCTTGGCTAAATTAATTGAAAATTGTCCCAAGGGGAAATTTCACGACACGCGCAGTTTTTTTGATCGTGAGAATCTAGTGATAGATTCCATAAATAAAAACAATATTTATACAAGTACATGCATATTTTCAGTAAAAGTAAAAGTAAAAAAAAAAAAACTCAAGTCGGGTTAAACTGAGTGAATTTTTCTTTTAGATTTATAATTCCTAAGGGTTTATGAAACGTAAAGTACACATATACTGAATACAAAAATATTTATAAAAGAAAAAAAATAAATACTCGTTCGATCATTGTAACTCTCTGTGTATACGTCCGTCGTCGTCGTCGACGTTTTTCTTAGTTTAACGCACACGCGAGCCTCATTTTTTTTCTTATTTCAATTCTGAACGAAGGAGTAAGGACTGTTGTATGTACTATAACTATGACCCGCCATCGGCACGATAAACATCTGCTGATAAGTTAAGTTTTCTACGTCAATCTGCGCAGGGCCTTGTTTACTGTCTTTAGAGATTTATCGTCGGCAGAGCATTACGGTTTCTTCTTACCTCTCTACGCATCGTGCACACCTCATACATCCTATCGACTATCACTCGTATATATTTTCCACCATCGTCGTCATCATTGCAGTCGTTCTTCAATAAATGTCGTCCTCGAGATGAGATAAATATCTTAAAAAGAAGTGTAACCAAGAGTGAAAGAGAGAGAGAGAGGTTGTAGAGACAATATGAGGGGAGAAACGAACTGATAGAAATTCAGGAATTCGGAAATCTGGCATATAAGTTTTTATTTTAACAGACCAGTTTTTTTTTGTCATTCTCATACATGTTCTTACCCCTCGGAGAAAAAAAATCCGTTATTATATTGTGTTATAGCTACCGCCGTCGATGAACATTCGGATTTTGTCAGTAGATAAACATCGGTGGTCGGATGACATGTTTTTGTCCCAACGATACATAACAATAGGATTAAATTTCGCACCAAATTCTTTGACCGAAAATATGTTATGTTATGTATGAGTATATATGCATGTTATTTACCTATTGGATTTACTCAGCCGAATTATTGGAGAATTTTCGGTGTGGTCGTTTGATGACAATAACAATGACAAAGCGTTAGGTTTCTATTCCCTTGGTTAAACGCATAGTCTCACCTAAATTGCTCTACAAGAATTGATTTTTTGTTTGTATAAAAAAAATATGCATATTTATAAATGCAATTGTTGCATATGTATTTACAATTTGATAAAATCATAGTATGATTTATAAAATGATAAAAATTCTGTAGTAATTTTTTTTTAAGTTGTGGGTTATATAAAACCCACATACCGTAATAAAAAAGATATTATCATTTAATTGAGCATTTTGAAAATAAGGTCCAAAAAAGAAGTTAAATGGGATTACAAGTCAAATATTGCATAAAAAATTCATGAAATAAATAATTAAATAAGTCAATTATTGTTTCAAAAATAAAACAATTTATATTAAAACAAATGTCAATACGTGTGTAAATCAAATTAAGACAAGTTGGATTTATATAAATTATTTAAATTTTAAAATAGAGTCGATTTAAATTTTATTAGTTCTTACAAAACGGTATAAAGCAATTCGTTTGCAATTTAAAATGTACACAATATACATATTGACATAGCATGGAACTAGTTTTTTTTTTTAATAGATGTTTAAATAATTTTATCGTAATAATGGTTGTGGATGGAGTTTTGAAATTTTCTCATTTAGTGAACTTTAGTACTCACAATACATTCAGTCAATATAAATTGTATTTTAAAGTTAACGTAATATTAAATGAATGTAGAATTTTTATTTTTTTTTAGTCAAATACAATTATTTATAGGTTCCCAAGCAATAGCTTTAGTGAGAACGTAAACATCAAATAATAATAATAATAATAAAAAAACAAATAGATTTCTCCGATTATAATAGAAGTACAGAAAATGCTGGGTAAAATCTTATCTTTTAAAATATAATATAAAAAAAAAAAAATGGAAGAAAATATTTATTTATACATTCATATTAAATTATTACGATGTATGCATATGCATATATACATAGAAAAATCCCTGTGGAACAAATGCAAATATTATTAAGTTTCGGACGACAAGTCGTTTACTTTGATGTGGTTCTACCGATTTATATATATATATATATATTTATTGTCTGCTGGGGTAGGCATGATTGAGAGGGAGTTGGTGTAAGATGGAGGGAGAGAAGACACAACGGCGATATTATTAATATTGCCGAGCTTCTAAATGGCGGAGATTTAACGGAATTCGCTGGGCTTTTGATAAAACTACTGAAATAATAACTGCTGGTGCTGTGACCGCGAGAGATCTTTCGCGACCGCGACTTCAAAGTCGTTTAGAACCCCCACGCGGTTTAATGGAACGTCCTTTTTTCAATTTCGTCTGAGAACAAATGACTGAGCAAATTTAATTACACATTAAGCTGTACATACTTAGGCTGAACATTAAGCCGAACATAACTCCTTCACCACTACCCGCGCGCATAATTAATTACCAGACAAAAAAACGAGCCGTCGCACGTCGTAAGAGACCATCTTCAAAGACAATGCATATTATGGAATATTAGAATATATATATAAATATAATAATAATATTGAAACGGCTTTTACATCGAATTCACGAAGTCTCTCACCGGAGATGTACGGCAACTTTAATAATAATCTCACAATAACATAGTACAACGTAAGTGTGCGTGCTCCGTACTATGTATACATATATAATTAAACTACAATATAATACTTACGTGTGCATGGCATCGATTTTGGATCTTTGGATGATCTGTAGTATCCGGTGTTGCACCTGCATTCGGACATTCCCTGGTCGGGCGCTTTGCTGTGCGCCGGACACGGTTGACACTTGTCATCCCCGACGCCGTATTTGTACTTGCCTGGAGGACAGACTGAAAAAGAGAAAGAAAAAAAACCATTTAGTTAAACTGAGCCGCTTATATCGTTATCAAAATCGGTTTCGTTGTATAAATAAGTACACATAATAATAATAATAATAATAATAATAATAATATTAATATAAACGTGCGTTCGTCCTGCCTGCCTGCCACGCCTGCGGTTCATTAAACTCCTGTGCGCACGCGTTAATTGCTCTCTACACACACACACATATATACGTTTAAGCCCCTATAGTTGTAGTGGTGGTAATAGCTGCCCTGAGGGGAGAGACGGCGAGCGAACTGGTGAGTGTGTATATATACATATATATGCTAGTATATTATAGAAGAATGATAGATGGAGTACACCGTTGTTGGCATGTATTGGCGTTATATTAATAGAGACAAATTGTTTGTGAATGCGTTACACATATACGCGTATAACACACCGTCCCCTTTTCGATTAAGATTGATACCCCTGAGGATTGCCGCCACACGCACACATACATACACACACACATTTATATATATTCACGCGTACTTCCGAGATCGGTGTATGATGTACACTACAGCTGTATTATATATATATATAATATACATAGATAGCAGCGCAGTAGCGAACATTTATCACCCTGTACATAACAGCACATGTAGTCAACACGTTCGTGTACAGCGTACATAACCGACTTGCGGGCCGTCGCATGGTTCAAAATATTAAAGTGCGACCACGATATACCTACACTTCATATATTATGATTACACGTATTATACTATATTATATTATCAGGTATGTAGCTACCGCGCACTCCTAGACATCGATTCGACAACCACGTTTGATTTTCAGGAGTTAAGGTTTCGGTTCAAAATATTGATTATCATTGTAGCCGATACGACATTAAATCGATAGCCTATCATTAATCATTATAGTGCGTACCTATAAACGACTAAATAATATTACTGAAATTGTTCAGGAAATTCAGCAATAGTGACTATTTATTTTTTTAGATCTTGAATAGATTTTTATCGATTTCAATGTCTAGAAAATTGTTTAAAAGTTTATTTAAGAGAATTTTCCAATTCGGTATCATGAAATATATTATAGGAAAATGTGAACTTATAATATGATTTGTGCATATCACCCATTTATACACATTACATACATCTGTTTCAAACAGATTGTTTGAGAGAGATGAATGAGTGAGACAACGAACTTTAGTATATCAGTTGCTAACAACAGGCGACAACTTAATTTTTTTTATCTACTGCGTATATAATATATATTAATTAAATTGATACGTATCCAATGAACAAAGTTGTGGCACGCTACAGACGGAAGACGGATAAATAGTTTTTATTTTACACACAGCCGTAAGTACTTCAGTGCGTTTTGTTTTTTGGTAAAATCTCTCGTAGTAAGGTTTAGAGTGTTGTCGGTACTCTATATAAACACAGCGACTTTAATTAATTAATTATAAAGCTCTGGAAACTAATAATTTCGTAATAGGATAAAAATTATGCTTTTTGCAACGCGTTGCAGACGATATTTTTTTTAAACGAATATGAAAAACACCTATACACGGTATTATTTATAATATAATTTTAATATAATCATAATTTTTTAAAAAGTTATTCTTAAAAGATTAGACAATGTAAAAAATAAAAATAATATAATCAAGATAAATTATGAAACGACCACAAATTTTAAAGTCTTCCATTAGGATGTGTATAATATTGAATAGAAACAAAAAACAAAACACTATTCCTCAACAATTGAGTCACTGCTAACCTTTTATCCCCCATTGCAAATACTTCAGCATATAATATAATCATTCTCTGGAGAGGATTGTGCCGTTAATAATTACAGGCATCTATATTGATTTAACTGCACAAGCACAACTATGATTTACTTTATTATATTTAATTTATCAACCGAACACGTAGACTTACTTGCAACGGGGCGCAATAACGTTTTGATGAGTAGCATTAGGCATGTTCTGTGCAGAGGAGAGGGATATAATTTACGGAACGTCTCTAGACAGGTACAATAATAATCCGAGTCTGTCATTAAATACGACGTCGACGGTGGGTATTGCAATATGATTTTATGCCTTATATTTTTAATGTATGATAATGTTTTTTTCTCTACCTTTATACGGTTTGTATTTTATGGAGGTGGTATCCGGGTTTATATTCGCAGGTAAAAAATAATGTTAATATAGGTCTTGTTTTCAGCTCTTATATATTCAAATTTCTTCTATAGTTGGATATCTTTAGTTCACATTATGATAGTATTGTATCTGTTTATCTAGCGACGTATACGCATGCGTATATTTTGTTCCGTCTACCTACGCAAAACGATACACTGCTTGAGATTGACACATGATGCTGAAGCGATTTCGTTGGAATCTCTGGGGAAGACGAATTGCGCAGGGCCCACGCTAGCGCACGACAGCGGTTCGAAAATAATAATAATAACGACAACCACAGAACAACTTAACGGGGCAATTATAAAACGCGTTATTATATATTGAAATAATAATAGTAATATATTGTACACATTGTATTCTATAATAATATTCTGACGTTATATAAATGTATATACAATATACTTGAGCAGTTGAGCATATAAATCGCTTATTAAACAAACACCAACGGCGGCGAATACACTGCGCATGCACGCCGTCCTGCTCGTCCACCGAATCTGCATAAAACGTGGATAACGTCGATGAGAGTATAATATAAATAAACGAGTTAATGGGCTTTTTGGCGTATTGTTGGGCAAAGAGTGCACACCGCCACATATACATACACGTACTGCCGGGTATACTAATTAACGTTACCGTTTTTTATATTTATTTTTTTTTTTTACTTTAATCGAACCGGATTCTTTTTTCCTATATATATATGTATGCATGTATACAAGCGGCGTCCATCGTCAATAATATGATATTTATGCGAGAGAAAATACATAACCACTGTCTATATACGTATCTACATAAAAACGGTTTCGTATATATGTATAATAAATAATAACGCTAATAAAAATGCAGTAAACGTTCGGTAGATACTTACGTAGGTATATATATTTCATATTATTATTTTAAAAATGTATTCGTATGTATACGTAATTTTTTCGAAACGATAACTAAAGAAAAAAGTTTAACGCGCGAGCAGTCGTACTTACCTATAGGGTATATATTATAATATTAATATATGGAAATAACCATTTACTATGTTCGCTTGTACACGACCGAAAGACAATTATTAAAAGTTGGCCAAAGAGGTTTGTGTGTATGAAAAGAATTTCTTTTGAAATAATTATCAGATGGAGAATTTGCGATTACACCTTTGGCGAGCGAGACCAAAAATCGATTTGTTCAGGTATATATATATAAATAAATATGATAGTGGACGCGACTCATCCCACCCTGCCACTTCGCTTTAAAGGGTAACATGAGATAACATAGTTTCCCCTTATCTTGGTTAATTATCTCAGACTCAGTCTCGCGCGAAAACTTTGGCGGGTTCAAACTACTACACTGCCTTCAGACCTCTCCTCCAAACCATCTTGGGACTTGCGACTGCTTGTGTAAATTTAGTGCGACAAACGACCTTTGATATAATTTATAATCGCGCCAAACTGAATCCAGCGCTTATTATCATTATTATTATTATTATTGTTAAAGTAAGGCGAAGGAACTCGTCGTTGTCGTTGTTGTTATCGTTATTACTGTAGTCTGTATAATGTCTGAGAAAAGGATCATTTTAATTGGATTTCCGGTCGGCTTTTATACGAGATAACACGTGTACATTGTCTGCTTGAGCGATGAATGATGATACTCTAAAGAGGTTCAATAGACTTTTTAATTAAAAACTATAATTTCTCAGATGAGACAATATCTGTATTTATGCAAAATAATTGTATGCTATACACTCTTTTATACTTAAAAAATATAACAGACAATATTTCACTTAGCATTTATTTTCGTAGTACCTACTTGAAAAATTGACGAGATAGTTTTGGTTATTATCAATGTAATTTTATAAATTTAAAAATTATTGATAATGCAAAAATAAGATCAGTATTATCAGGGATGATAAATACAAAAACGATAGATACGATCAACAGCGTATTTAAACTATAAAGTATACTATTTGTATGAAATACTACTAACACGACAGGATGAATACGATTAAATTAACAGCAATGTATTTACTAAAAGATTATATACAATTATGCTTTATTGATGACGTTTATAAAATATCTTCCGAGAATTGTTTAAAAAAATAATGTTTAATGAAAAATATTATAAACGAATACTTTTTATTTAAATAAAATTTTTTTATAATACTCACTTATACAAGTTTGCGCTTCTATGTCTGCTTCAAAGCCAGCTTTGCACTTGCATCCACCTGACGGCAGATACCATTTTCCATCTCCTTTGCACAGGTAAGTTGGAGCACCATCTACTACTTCAGCATTATCTACACATTTGCCTGTGGCGTGTTCGATTTGGGTAAGTTCTCTAGCAGTTGGAGTAGCAGAGAAATTTGCAAAGTTTATCACAACTTCCGGGCACACGATATAATACACCTGTAGGAAAAGTCCAAATGCAAATTTCCAAGTAAGAATACATAAATATACGAGTAATATTTGGTATACTATATATTAAATATGATATTACAATATAAATAATATATTAATTATTAACAGTAGGTATATCTAAATAACGGCAATTCCATGCATAAAATTAGAATAAATCGTTTTGATTTTTAGTATCGACTAAATATATATTATATACTTTAGCTCTGTTTGCAGTTAAAATTTACTGCAATAAGAAAAAAAAATAACTTGTTAAAAACATTCATAATATTATTTTTAGGATTTTTTTTATTATTCTTTAGATCAGCATGGGGTTTTTTTGAAACGTGTATAAATATATATTCTATATATTCTATATAAACAACAAGAAAAAACTATAAAAAAAAAAAAAATCATGTCTTCGATGAACCCGTAGTTTTAATCCGCCCCAAAACAAGCATTTACGAATCTTATATTATATCACATACTATCCATTATACATACACATACTATATAATAAATGTATTAATTTTTATACGATTAGGTAGTATGCTGTTAAATAAAAAGCTATTTCTGTTTGATCGTAGTTGTTATCTTATATTCTGTCTTTTTGTCTTATTCGTTTCATATTGTATAAGAATCTTTAGTTTTTATTATACGGGAGATGACAGAAATATCATCTCTGAAAAAAAGACGATTTAGGAACGTTAAATATAACCCGTACGACAAGTTTAGGCAAAATAAAAACAAAAATAAAATGTTTATTTTCTTGTAAAATAAAAAAATAAAACAAGTACACTTAAATAATTGTATATATTATATTATAAAAACAAAATATTTTTATTAAAAAAAGCGAAATATGAAGGGGTATAAAATTATTAAGAATTAATGAGTCGGTTAGTAAATAATAGTTACATACGTATAGAACGTGGAGTGTACAATATACGTTGTTCATTTCTTAATGTAAGTACCTATCTACGTCTTAAGGGTGTAACTTTGAATTCATATATTATACATATATATAAATAATATAAGACATATTCGACGGCAGATGTTTAAGAAGGTATTTTATTATTATTATACAATCGTATACGAGTAAGAATAATAAAATTATAATGTACAGTTTAAAATTATATGTATATAAGTGATGAAATATTTGTTTCTGGAATTCAAAAAATCGCAATTTATAAAAGTTACTTTATTATATATCATATTGTAGAATACATTTAAACGACATCAAAAAAGTTTTTTTTTTTATAAACCTTTAGTTGCCAATTAAAAAAAAAGGAGTTTCATTATGTGAATTTAAAAGTTTTCGGTAATTTGTCTTTCGAGATTTTGGAGTCTCTAGAGATAAAAAGGCTTTTACGCATTAAGAAACTTAATAATTACAGAAACCCTCTGGCTTAAACATAAAATACTCTTTATAGGTATATAGGCTATAAATTATACAGGGAGGGGATCATGGTCGTTTTAATGCATTTCTGTGAACTATACAAAACGAATTTACACATGCACGCACGTTAAGGTATATCGTATACTTACGTCAATATTTGATCGATTCAAGCACTATTTATTTTATTTAATATTAAATGAGGAAAATCTTTACAAAACTATTATTGCATATTGGAAGCACCTTTGTAGTAATAATTAATTATATTCGTTTTTATTTTAACGCATATTGAGAATTCAGAATTATTTTCTAGAAAAAAAATCAAATGACAAAAATAATAATCGACTTTTTAAGTATTATATGCTTCTTTTTTTATTTTTTAGAATAGGGGAGAAATTAATTAAAGTGAACGTAAATTATTGTTTGAGTTCCGTTTTGTCCGAACACGATGATTAAGTGACATTTGTAAAAATCCACTAATTTTTTTTTTTTATCTAATCATTAAGCGCCATCGTGGATATTTCAGACAACTTGGACACCATCCTGCGAGTGTATTTAGTTTCCTGTGTCTGGTATGGAGATAATTGTATGTTATATTATATTTTTACACAAATTTATACAAATCGACTTTCTTGCATCGTGTTTATTTATATGTAATCACGAATTCATATTTCGATGGATGCTCATGGTGTGATATCTCGTGTCCCGTATAACGACTCCCTCGTAGAATTCCTCAATGTTTTATTTCTCTACCGTGTTTTTATTTTATTTATTCCACGATGAAATTTACGACCCGGTCCCCGAGACGTTACCGTATTAACGACAATAACTATAAATTCGCCCACCGGGTCTCTCTGACATAATTATTGCATCGCGTTCTCGTCCATGTAGTTTTTCGCTTTTTTTTTAACTCTTTTCTCTCTTCCTTACTCCTCTTCTCTTCTATCACCACTCTACGGCGGCGCCGCTGCACGACAACTATATAATATGTACATATATGTACATATATACTAGGTATATTATACACGTATAAACAACACTCAACCATACAGACAAGATTTTGTTTTTCTAACGTGACACAATCTAACAGCATCGGATTTATAGGTGTGGGATATGATTAGCGGGGAATAGAGAAAACTTAAAATGAACAGAAAAAAAAACAGAAACACGAAAATCAAATTATGTTTTATATATACATATATATGTTCCAAAAACAAACGACTGCGCATGCGTGAAATATAATTAATTTTATAAACATAAACATCGCCGATGATATTAAATGATCTTGTAAATTTTAATCAAAACAAGCAATGGAGAATAATAACTCTTTGTGCAATGCCCGCATTCGTGTAAAAAACCTAATCTTCTAACGTCATATATTGGTGATAATATATGAGACTATCAGTAGTAGTTCACATAATTGAAATGAAGAAGAAAAAATAAGAGGACAAAGTACGATATTAAAAAGACTAGTTTCTTTTATATAAACAAACATGAATGCAATTATTATCATATTATTTATTATATACGTGTTATCTTGTCTTACCTTGACGGCCATGATGGAAATGCACGCACCCTGGTCCCTGAAGGCAAAGTACACTCCTTTTTTGGTAACTTTCACGGCTTTTGTCTCGGTATTGATCACCACTTCGTTATTAGCGTTAAACCTCCCCTCACCGGCAGCTATCCGACCTGTAACACACCACGTAATCATAAATACATATTTTAAAATCGAATCGTTCGAAAAGTGTGTATATATTATGTTATAAAGGTATACCACGGTTCGGATGTCGAATTTATATTGATGTATAAAATATATATAAATGTTTCGTGCGTTATTACCACCATCGAAACAAGTGTTTCAGGCTAAAATAAAAAGATATGGATCATCAAAGGAATAATATCTATCTAGGGTTATACCATAATATAATATAATATATAGTGTTTTTCACCGTCCTTGTGAGATTCTTTGATTAAACGCGTTTCATCACTAAGAATTTATAATATATATTATGTGTAATCCACACTAAAAATATCAAAATGTCTATTGAAACGTTAAAAAATAAGATGTTCGAGATTTAATTTATGATTATTATATATAATATTGAATCACAAGTATAATAGTATACGTACCTACTAGTTGAATATTATGATTATTGGTAAAAACTTGTAATAAGTACCTATAGGTATATTACATAATATTCATAGTCATATTGAAAGAAATAGTTGATTTAGAGATTTAGATATGTCTTTTAAAACAATTGTTTATAAATTAAAATGTAGATTTTTTTTTAGAAATGTACATAGTATGGATGCTTGTTTCAAATATTTTTTAACATTTACCCTTTCATTACTGCGTAACATAATAATCATCTAAAATATTGTTTTGAAAACGCTAGAAAATCAGACAAAAATTAAGATGGATACTTACCAACAGACTTGTAGCTGTCTGGTTCCCATGGCGGTGGTTCCCTGGTGGCCACGTCAAATTCATAATAGAGCAGTGAAAACGTCTCTTTACATGACAGAGCATACCCCGGGAACAGCGAACAGTCTCGAATGGTAAATTTGACTTCGATATAAATGAGATTGGCCAACCCACGCTCAATGAAAGGTGTCCACACCCAATTATTGACGTTTTGCTTGGTGACATCGCATACGACGTATGATCGCCAGTTGATACCTTTTTCAAAGTTTATGTAGCTCTCTTCGACCCACTGGAAAAGTAAAAAGTAAAAAATAAAATAAAATATATAAAAAAGAAGTACGAAATATTCATACAACACGAGAATAAATAAAGTACATATACGTTATGTATATAGTAGTATAGTTTTGACGATTTCCCTGGGGGTAGGATAATATATGTATATATATGTATGTGTGTGTGCACGTATATATAACAAGGTTCTATTGTCCTGGAAATTTGTCACCACCGCCATTGCCAATTGCGATAGTAAATAAAAACCCCCATTGGGTTAATGATCCGACGACCCTCTGCGACGAGGAAGTGGTGAAGACTTGTGCGAAAACATTCCGAGCACGAAATCCTCTCCTCTTCTCCGACGACCTATCTAGATGAGTCACAGGGATCCACCTTCAAAGGCTTGTACAAATAGTATATATACGGGGCAAATGCAACGTATTCATTTGCTTTTGAGCACACACACATATTCGTATACACGTATACACTGTGAATCATCCAAAACGTTAGGGTCGTAGCGCGCGCAAAATCTCATCAACTTACCCACCGCGCCCTCTCTTCCGACCTTTATTCCCTATACCTCCCTAACCGATTCTACTGTGGCACACTCAGTGTACGTGTCTATGGCGATTCGTCTTGATCGGATTTCGTCAAGCCCGACCCACCGAAATTGTCGCGAGCGCTAAATTTACATAATACCCGTAGAGAAGAGAGAGACAGACAAATAGAGTGAGAGAGAGAGATAGACAAACAGAGTGTGAGAGAGAGAGAGAGAAAGAGAGGAGAGAGTAAAAGAGAGCGAGCGAGTCACTGCTAGGGAATAAATTACACAAAATCGTGGGATATATAGTATAGTACTATCGGAGGCGGTAGCGGCGGAAAACGGTCAAAATAAACATTGTAACTATGTTTTGGCTTAACTTCAAAACGATACTGAGCGATGTAAGGCAACCGGTAAACATCGGCTTGCAAAAATAATACACAAGAATAAAAAAAGAAACTGTAAGTCTTACAGATTTTCCGATGTCATTCTTTGCCGTCGATTAATGCAAACGCGTCAAGTAAATATTTTTTTATGTTAATTACTGACTTAATTTTCTTTGGAATACATTATTTCACAGCGCAGTGGATAATAAGAACGAGCTACGCCAACAATGAATACGAAACGGAAAAGTTTTTAAAGCGGTTTTGACGTAAAACTATTTTATATACTTAACCGTAAACAAATTTAAATAATTTTTTAAGCTACGAAACGTTTTTAGAAAATATCAATGTACGATGGGTATAAAAACTGACTAGATTAAAAGGTGTAATCAATTTGCACCAGAATTGACTCTAAATATTTACAACATGTATAATTTGCATCAAAATTTCTAAATTGCTTTTGTAATTTGCATCAAAATCAAAATCGATTATTTTAAGACAGGTACTATTGAAAGAATAATCGTACAAGTTTCGATAATTTAGTATAATATATTAAGATATGAAAAGCTTAAGACATTGAATTTGAATATTCCATTTATAGATACTGAGTGGTTATTTCACTCACTTGTTAAGTATTTGCATCGTTCTACGTCAGTACCTATTGACTTAAAATCTATACCTCATAAATAATAATAATAATAAAACATGACAAACATATTATATTATTTTAGGCAAAAATATAATTTAATATGTATTTTTGTACTACAAATAAAAGTCTTATTATAAAAAAGTTAGTCAGTAAAAAACAAAAAAAAAAAAAAAAAAAAAAAATATTGAAAGCGGATTTTTACGTTAAAACTTCGTTTTAAACCCAGGAAGGTGGTGGGTAGTAAGAAATTCCCAAAAATTATTATTGTCATTTGGGTCTGTTGAGTTAAATTACTATATTTGACAGTGTGAATATTCAAAATACTATTTTCATCTACTTGCAGACTGCAGTGGTGAAAATTACATATCTTTATTTATTTTGGTGCAAATTGTGAACTCCCAGATTTCACGCTAAGGGATATAAAGGGCACATTTGGAAGGATAATAATGATAACATGAATGTGAGTAAAACAAAAGCTGAGAAAATTGAGTTTAAATAAAAAAATGTCAAAGGTCAATTGCTGGGAGAAACGATTAAAGTGAGTATCCGTTCGAGAGAACTGCACATAATTTTGTTATGAAACTATGAATTTTACCCCGTTTCATGAGACTGTCATTGTGTAATATAACACATAGCATTATTAAACGCATTCTGTACAACAATGGGTATGGGTGATGCATGTCTCTCTGTATTATATATTATTATTATATACATTGACGTAGACACAGTGTAACTCGGCGGCGTACTAGCAACGCTTACACGATTATACCCTTGGGAGAGGAGAAAGCGCGTTTTCCGGCGTCATTAACACGCCGAAAACCATTTTTTGAACAGAGTGCTTAATGAGCCCAGAAATCTTCCACATAATTCGGGACGTCATTATGGAGCGCGTTTCATATATAGTAGAAAAAATACTATACATGTGAATTATAAAAATAATATATATGTATACAGGGGAAAAATACGTAAAAAGACGACGGAGGATACGACGACGACGACTTTGTGGTATTCATCATTAGGGAGGAAATGTGTAGGAAGGGATATTATATATATATATATATATATATAATATAATACCGTATACACAACCCACCGCAACAGATGACCGGTCGCAAAGAAATGGAAGTTATTTTTTTTCAAGACTCACCATAGCATTCGAATAAAAAGCTAAGCGCGCGCACTCACACACAGGACATGCACACAACTCACACGCGCGTATAACTATAATGTGTATTTAATTGCCTGCCGCTGCCGCGCGCGTTATTAAAGTGCCATTAATGGGGCAAACCGAGACAACACGCTGCTGCAGTGCGGCTACCTCCTTTTTTTTATAGAAGAACGCGCGGCGTATTGCATACTTGTATTATTATTATTATTATTATCATCATATATAATATAATTTTTTTTTACCGTGGAAAAGGAATCCGGAGAATATATAACCAAGCGTCCTCGATTTGTAAACGTCATCCGGGATAATTACATTAACAACCGGTAGATTCAATTCTAATAAGAGTTAGGTATACATATTATATAATATATTTATACATAGTAATATGCATAATAATATATATATATATATCTATGGGATGACGGTACGTAGACGGAGATGATGCTGACATGCTGTAAGGGTTTACACATATACCTACCTACCTATATAATATACTGTTTTATACATTATTGGTGGTCGTTCGCATGCTGCCAGTTTTAGTGTGTGTGCGAGTGCGCGTCCACAAAGAAAGAAAACATACGAAGAGGTAACGGCGGAAGCAGAAAAGCAGCGGCTACTTGTCGCATTATGCAAATGTCCACGTCAAAAGATTGCGGTCCATGCCGCTGCCGGTGCCGCCAGTGTATGGTTTTCAAAAGGTGACGCGGTAAAATGTAATTTATTCTTTTGGACCCAACGTGTAGATATGTCATTGGATTTAAATATATATATACCTATATATATATAAGCACACGAGTGCATACCTATGTACACGTACTTCGATGAATGTGCTCTGCGTGCTGTCGTTTTGCCATATAATCCCGTTATTCGTATTTCTATTTGATATTTTATTTTTTATTTTGTCAACCTAACTCAGTTCAATCTCGTATGTATATGTATAAATGGCTCGCATACGACCGTCATATCAATCTTAGTGGAACATGGGAAATTCAAAGTTCAAAACTATCACGAATAAATATATGTATATTATAATAATAATAAAAATAAAAAAAAAACACAGCACGCAGACGGCCTTACATTATATTATAATACGCATTGTATATAGTAATACTAAAGGTACGTGCGACCCGTCACCGTCGATGTAGAAACGTCGTGTTCTGCGTAGATTATGTCTAAAACTAAACGAAAAATAAAAACTTTGTACGCGTATATGCACTACAATCGAGATCTAGATGACCGATAAAAATCATAAACATATACCGCAGCATTTAATGAACGGTTCTTATGTAATATGCGTTATCGTTGTTTACCTGCATATACATGTATAATACGTTACTACAAATAACAATATTAGGTACATCAAAGGTATTATAACTATGAAGGAAGTATACCCTACAATCTTCGTGGTATATTTTATACAGCGTTAACGATTAATGCGGAAATATTGTAGACATAAAATTGTGGAGTTAATACCATTACGGTGTACACCTGCATATATGCATACCTGTATATTATCTATACCTAATAATATAGTACATTGAACGTTAATAATTTGGATTATTCATGTTGTCATATATATATATTGACATAAATAGTTACATAAAAGCATATATGATCGGGTCAGCAGACGAAGCCCGTCAACGGCGTCACATGTTATTCGATAGGTACAAAAAAAAAAAAAAAAAAAAAATAGTACAAAATAAAATAGAACAACCGTGGTGTACTCTTTAATGGTAGGACGGAAATATTTTGTTGGGTTGCGCGGAAAAGAGCATTTCGATGTCAATTCAGGGGGGGGGGTGCGTTTTCCAGTTCAAAGAGTACACAATATAGACACGACGACGGTCTTTAAAATAACGCAATATACGTATGGTATATATATAACAATACAATATAATATAATAATATATATACAAGTGCAGTGTGCTTGTGAAATTTCCATTTATTGATTTGTTCGCAGAAGTGAAGAAAAAAGAAAATTAATTAAAACCGACCCCGTTTTCGATTTAAATTCAAATTTGCCGCATGTTTTATTCACGGGAAAACGACAACGATTACAACGACCATGCGTCGCTATATATATAAAATTATAAAATATTCTCTCGGAAATATTATTATTTAGGCGATGGGGTTGGCAATGAATGCACGAATGCGTGTGAAGATCACTGAACACACACACCATTCACACTACTAATGGTAATGTCCAACACGCTATAAAATAATTATACGATACGACAAAATAATTTTATTTATTTACAACGACCAGGTCAAAGGA